AATCCCTATACTCCAGAGTCAGAGGCAGGAGGATCGCTAAGTTTGAGGCCAGCCTGGTCTACACAGAGAAACCCTGTCTTAAAAAACAAAAGCATATGGGTATGGTGGCTCAACCCATAAACCAAGCACTGGAGACACTAAACAAGGATTGTTTGAAGCTAGCCTGGACGACAGAGCAAAATTCAGTTTCAGAACACAAAAACAAATATATAGAAATTGGCTCATCCTAGTCTTCCAACTCCATGTTCCTACACATGCTGTATTTAAAGAATCAATGGTTCCTGATCTCATCTCCAAATGAGTACAGATGGGATCATTTCCACCATGTGCACACAGAAGTAACAGTATTTTTTTTTTCCACACAGGGTCTCTGTGTAGACCTGGCTGTCCTGGAAATTGCTCTGTTGAGAGATTTATTTCTGTCACAGTGTGTAAAGGTCTTGCTGCAAACAATGACCTGAGTTGGATCTCTGGGACCCATATGGTGAAAGGAAAGAACAGGATCCTACAGGATCCTGAAAGGTGTCATGTGTCGGCATGCACATTTGGCACCTCTTCCCTTACCCCAAACTACATACAAAGTTAATAAAAAAAAGTGAAATATTTAAAAGAAATATTTTTTTTGTCCAAAATAAACCATTTGAAGACACATTTACAGTAAAACAAAGCCACAGGGGAAAAACAAAACAAAACAAAAGGCAAGTGACTTAGTGTTCTCCTGCTGAGAAAAGACTCCATAAGAAAGCATTTGAAGGGGTGGGGGATTTAGCTCAGTGGTAGAGCTCTTGCCTAGAAAGCACAAGGCCTGGGTTTGGTCCTCAGCTCCAGGGGGAAAAAAAAGCATTTGTGCATTTGTGGGCTGGAGAGACAGCTGAGCTTGAAAGGATAAGAGCACTGCTTGTTCTTCCAGAGGTCCTGAGTTCAATTCCTAGCAACCACATGGTGGCTCACAACCATCTGTAATGGGATCTGGCGTCCTCTTCTGGCCTGCAGTCATACATAAAAAAATAAATCTCAAAAAAAAAAAAAAAAGCATTTAAATTCGGAGCTTGCTCACAATGTCAGAGGTTTAGTCCATTATCATGGCAGGAGCATGCAGACCTAGTCCATGACCAGAGAACTAGGTGTCTACTCATTTTTTTTCTTATTTTATCCTTTATTAATGTTTGACACAGGGCCTCTTGTTTGTTTTGTTTTGACAGGGTTTCTCTGTGTAATAGCTCTGGCTGTGTAGAACTTGCTCTGTAGACCAGGATGGCCTTAAACTCACTGATCCTCCTGCCTCTGCATCCAAGCTGCTGAGATTAAAGGCCTGAGCCACAACTGCCCATCTGAGACCGAGTCTCTTTATGCAGCCCTGGATACCATGGAACTTGCTGTGTAGACCAGGCTGGTGTGAACTTTGCAGAGATCCACCCCACTCTGCCTCCTAAGTGATGCTATCAAAGATTTGTGCCACCACACCTAAGTATTTCATCATTTGAACATATTTTTCATTGTTTTACAAAGCGCACACATGCACACAACATATTTTGATCATATTCCTCTAGTCCTTGCCCTATCATGTCCCAGATCTACTCTATTATCCTTTAGAGATTGAACCAGGCAGAGGCTCACTACACTTGGCAAATGCTTTGCCACTGAGACACACCCTCGGTTGTCCCAATAACTTATGTTTTTTTAAGAAAGGATCTCTTGTAGCACAGGCTGGCCCCAAACTGTCTTAAATTTGTGCCCCTTCTCCCTGGGATTACATGTGTGTCACCACACCCAGGTCTTGTTTTGGCTTTTTGAGACAGGCTTTCTCTGTGTAGTTTTGGTCCCTGTCCTGGATCTCACTCTGTAGACCAGGCTAGCACCAAACTCACAGAGATCTTCCTGGCTCTGCCTCCTGAGAGCTGGGATAAAGGCGGCCACCGCCGCCGCCGCCACCACCACCACCACCACCACCACCACCACCACCACTACCACTGCCCGCCACACTGTTTTATCCAGTGTTAGGAACAGACAATGCGAAGGCAAGCTCTCTGAAGTCTGAACTGCATCCCCAGCCGAGGCTAATAAAATTATTAATTGATTCATTTAAATTTGAGACATGATCTCACCCAATTTCCTTAGCTGCCTTACACTCACCCAGGAGGCCAGGCAAACCTTGACTTTATGATCCTCCTGCCTCATCTTCTCACTAGCTCCTATCACAGGCCTCCAGGACTTCCCCCGATTAGTTTAAAATGTTCATCCCTTCCCTTGGCAGTTCCAGGGTTAACTTGTCATTTCAGACATCCTGAGATTAAATGACATCTATAATGGTGTCTAAAGGCTCTAGGCAATCACTGAGAAGATTATCAACCGGAAGTCAGTCCCGTGGATCTGTATAAAAGCCATGATCCTAGAGCTCTGGGCACTTTCCAGAGAGATCTCAGAAGAGTCAAGGCTGCTGCAGGCATGAAGACAGGAACCTGGAGGTAAGTGAACCAGGGTGGAAGTTGGGTTTAGCGAGGCTGTGTGTTCGTGTATAGACAGAAATTGACTGCTGCAAATATAGCTGGGCATGAAGTACCTGCAACACCACACTAGGGAACTGAGGCAGGAGGATGCCATGCCGAGTTCCCTGCTGTAGAGGGCCACAAGGTTAGGTGTTCACAGCAAACCAACAGAAGGACCCCAGGTACCTAAACTCCTCCTGTGTCCTTTGATGGACATCTGTCTTCCACGGTGTTCCGCTCCTGGTAATCACGATGCTGTTGCAGACTCCAAGGGCAGATTCACTTAGCTCGGGTCTGCATCCCTTGACCTTCTCATTGCTGGGTCTAGCGGTTGCCTGCTGGAATTTTTTTTTTTTTTTTTGGTTTTTCGAGACAGGGTTTCTCTGCGTAGCTTTGCGCCTTTCCTGGAGCTCACTTGGTAGCCCAGGCTGGCCTCGAACTCACAGAGATCCGCCTGGCTCTGCCTCCCGAGTGCTGGGATTAAAGGCGTGCGCCACCACCGCCCGGCGCCTGCTGGAATTTTTATTGATTTTCTTTTTAAATGGGGTCTATTTCCAGATTGACCTGGAACTTTACCCTTCCACACCAGATGTCGGAGCTGTAAGCAGAGTCAGGCATACTGCCCAGGCTGCAATTAACTGTTTTTATTTTAAAATTATCATTTTTATTATTAAAATAATTAGTCCAAGTACTAGGCGCACAGAGAAAGGCAGATCTCTGTGAGTTGGACTCCAGCCAGAGCTCCACAGAGAGACCCTGTCTCAAGAACCATTTTGTGTGCTGTGGCCATAGCTCAGCAGTTAAGAGCACCCACTGCTCTTCTAGAGAACTCAGATTTCATTTCTAGTACCCACAGAGACTCACTATTGCCCACATCTCCAAGGCCTGCAAGGCCTTTGCACTAGGCACAAATATGGTCCACAGACAAACGAGCATATATAACATCCATCCATACACATAAAATTTTAAGGTATTAATTTCCCCCCCCCCACACACAAGGATAATGGTGCACAACTTTAATCCCAGCACTCTGGAGAGCATGCCAGCTTCATCTTTAGTTTAACAGATCAGCCAGGATCTATAGTGAAGCTAATCAGTGTGTAGACCATGCTGGCTCACAGAGATCTGGCCTCTGCCTCCCTGGGATTAAAGAGGTGAGTCACCACATCCAGCAGAAATGTTGTGAGTTTGTAAGTGTGTAAGATGGGAACTGAACTCTTATCTAGAAGAGCAGCCAGGGTTCCAAACCAACTCTGCTTCTTCTTCTTTTGGTTGGTTTTTTAGACATTGTCTCACTGCATAGCTCTGGCTGGTCATGGACTGAAGATCTGCCTGCCTCCACCTCCCAAATCCTGGGACTGCAGGTGTGGTGGCTCCCACCTTTAATCCCAGCACTTGGGAGGTGGAGGCAGGCAGAATGTCTGAGTTGGGGCCTCCCTGGTCAACAGAGCAAGTTCCGGGATAGCCAGGTCTACACAGAGACCCTGTGTGGAAAAAACAACAGAAAAGAAGACTGTTACTTCTGTGTGCAGATGGTGGAAACGATCCCACCTATGCTCATTTGGAGATGAGATCAGGAACCATTGATTCATAAAAGCCAGCGTGTGTAGGAACACAGAGTTGGAAGAGTAGGATGAGATAATTTCTATGTATTTGTTGTGTTCTGCAACTGAATTGTGCTCTGTAGCCCAGGCTAGCTCCAAACAACCCTTCTTGTTTAGTGTCTCCAGTGCTGGGATTGTGGGTTGTGCTACCATATCCATATGCTTTTGTTCTGGTTTGGGGTTTGGTTTGGTTTGGTTTTTCGAGACAGGGTTTCTCTGTGTGGCTCTGGTGCCTCTCCTGGATCTCACTCTGTAGACCAGGCTGCCCTCAAACTCAGAGATCCTCCTGCCTCTGCCTCTGGAGCATAGGGATTAAAGGTGTGGGCCATGTTCTTGGATTCTGAGAGTGAGTCTCCTGTAGCCCTCATGTCTTTTAGACTGGGTACTTTATACATAACTGAGGGAGGTTTCAAAATTATGGCAAGCATCCGGCGCCCACCTGTCTCTAGGTTGGGATTACAGATGTTCCATCATACACAGCTGGACTACAGTAATTGATTATTTTTTAATTGTCTTTGGGAATGGGGTAAGTGCCAGGTGTCACACATGGAGACCAGATGACAGCTTGTCAGAGCTGGTACTCTCCTTCCACTGAGGAGGTCCAGGAGATTTACCTGGGGTCATTGGGCTTGGGTGGAGACACCTGTACCCTGAGCCATTGACAGATCCATAGAATGGATTAATTTCTGCTTTACTAAACAGTATCACTGTGTTTGGGGATGGCTATATTATAAGGAATGATAGCATTTAGGAGGCAGCAGAGTTAAACTGATCTGGCTTCTTCTTGCCTCCCAGGCTTCTGGACCGACACCGAGCCCATCCCTGTGGCTAAAGGAGGAGGTCTGTTGAGACCGGAGTCATTTTATAGAATTCCAACTTGTCAAAGACCAAGGGAATATTCTCCAAAGACATGGCTACCAACACGACTCGAGACAGCCTCCCCTCAGAGCAGACACCATCACCTACATCCCAGGACTGGAATTCAGAAAAAGAAGACTACAGCCCTGAGGTCTGGCACTTGAAGTTCAGAGCTTTCAGCCCCTCAGAGCAGTCAGACCCCATCCAGGATCTGAAGAGGATCTCTGAGCTGTGCTATCAGTGGCTGAGACCAGACCTGAATAGCAAGGAGGAGATCCTGGATCAGCTGGTGTTGGAGCAGTTCATGATCTCCATGCCTCCAGAACTGCAGGCCTTAGTGAAGGAGAGCGGAGTGAAGAGCTGCCAAGAGTTAGAGAAGATGCTGAGGGATGGCGGGAAACCGCAACATTGGGTAAGCAGAGCCTCAGATGTGGGCTGAGGAAAAGGACAGCCTTGGGGCTGTGGGACCTGGAGGCAGAACCCACTGAGGGTCCTGCCCTTTGTCAGTGGTTCCTAAGAGGAGGGTTTGTCTTGCCAAGTGATAAATGGCAATGTCTGGGGACCTTTATGGACTTGTTTTGTCTTTCTGAATGTGGCCCAGACACTTGGTTTAGAGCCAAGGAATTGTGCAGATCAAAAACACTGTAAGCTAACAGGCTCATCTTGAGTCAGAGTGCAGAAGCCTTGTTTTGTCTTTTTATTTTTGTCTGCTTTTTCCCCCCCTTGAATCTGTGTGTGGTGCTCATGCAGGCCACAAGAGGGCATCTGATCCCCTAGGAGCTGGAGTTACAAACAGTTCTGTGCCACCATTTTGTGGGTGCTGGGGATTGAACTAGAGCCCTCTGGAAGAGCAGTCAGGGAGGTGGAATCAGGGGGAGATAGGAGAGGACAGAGGGAAATCTCTTGTGGGGATATAAAATAGATAAGTAAATACTTTTTTAAAGGAAACGGGGAAGGAAGGATCAGGTAGGGTAGTACAAGCCTTTAGTCTTAGCTCTCAGGAAGCAGAATCTGGCAGAATCTGAGTTCAGGCCAGCTAAGTCTACATAGTGAGACCCTCTCTCCAACAATAAATGTGAGTCCACAATCAAAATAAAGCTGATAAAACACAATGTTACCCTGGACTCGAAGCCATTCAGAGGGCTAAGGTATCAGGTGTCAGGTTAGTCTGGGCTACACACCATTTTGATCAGGGACAGCCTGGGCAAATAGGCAAGAATTTAAACTGAAAATATTTTAAAGGCCAACAGAGAGGCCAGAGGTAGAACACAGGCCTAGAATCCACCAGTGAGGAGAGGGGCCTGTGGCTCAGCCACAGAGTGCTTGTCTACACAAAGCCCTAGCACCATATACAAGAGAAGAAGCAAAGAAAAAACTGAGTGGGATAACCACATCTGACTGGGTGTGAGCAAAGGCAGCCACAGTGACCGGGAAGGAAGGGGTCTGTCCTCCTTCGAGTCTCTCAGGTCCAGAGTGAGGCCAGAAGTCGTCAGGAAAGTTTCTTTTCACTGTCTAACCTTTAACCTCTCCCAGACCCATACCACTTCCCCAGTTCCCAACTTCTGGTCCTCTTAAAAATACCCTGTCCCGCCCCTAAGTCTGGTTTGCGAGGTCCATAAGGGCCCTGGGTGTGGAGGCTCTCACCAGAGCAGGGCCCACCTCCTCGGGGCCACACCAAAAAACAAAACAAAACAAAACAAAAAAACAAAAACAAAAACAAACAAAAAAAATGCTCTCCCTCTCCCCAGAAGCCAGCCATGTGCATAGCTCATTGGTCAGGGTGGGGATTCCTGATTGCCTCTCCCTCCAGCCTGGAATGGTGTCTGGCTGGACACTGTGAAGGAGTGTGAAGGCATCTCCAGCTGTGTGAGCTCATGAATGCAGGGGTGTCCTCTCTGAAACACTCTGCTCTGTTCTTAGCCTCCCAACTCTGCATCTTAGAATCTAAGTAGATCGTATTATCTTTAGACAGGGTGTCTCTAAATAGTCCTGGGTGTCCCCGAGCTGTGTAGACCAGGCTGGCCTCCAACTCAGACATCTGTCTGCCTCTGCTCCCCAAGCCCTGGGATGAAAAGTGTTCAGTACCACACCTGGCTAAGAGTTTTCAGTGTTCAGTCGCTGTCACTTGGAAGTCCACAATATGTAGCAGAGGAGGACCCCCCCCCCATCAGAAATAATCATTCAACCTCCAATTTATTTTAAAGTTATCCTATTTTATAGGATGGGTTTTTTGCTTGTGTGTATCTGACACCCCATGTGTGCCTGGTGCCTGCAGAAGTGAAAGGGCGTCAGACCCCCCCACCATCACCTGAGGAACTGGGGTTACCGATGGCTGTGAGTCTCCTTGTGCGTGCTGAGACTCAAACCCAGGATCTCTGCAACAGCAGCCAATGTTGTTAAGCTCTGAGCTGCCCTTCCTCTAGCCTCACTAGCCCAAATCTTAATAGCACCAAGGTTGAGAGGCATTTTGCTTGTAGAGTCGAGGGCAGAGAAGATCGTGCATAGAGAATTAAAATAGCAACCAATATGAGGTGCAGAGATGCGGTGGCTTTACGTTCACGGCAGAGTTACAAGTAAGAGGAGAGTATTGGTTTATGTGGGGTATGGGAGTAGGTCATGGAAGTGTGAACATTCCTACAACTTGGAGAAATTGAGTGGGCCACAGGAAGTAGAGACAGATGTCTATGTTCTACCTCTCCATTGAAGGAACACACACCCATAATTTTTCTCTGTCCCCTGTCAAGAAAGAGGAAGTTTAGCTGGATATAGTTCCTGAGATCAGAGAACAAGAAGACCCAAGACCCAAGCAGAGCCCGGGGAATGACTCGGTGCAGGATAGGGATGAGACCTCTGTGTTGACCCCTCAGGACCCTGAGCCCACACACGGTTCTGGTGAGTTCCAGGTGGGAACTGACTGGGGACTTACTGCCCCTTGCCCAGCCCTCCCTTCCTGTGGGAGGAAGCTGACCACCCCCTCCCACCCCCTCTGTCACTAGCCTTCCAGAGCATTCTAAAGGCTGAGCTCTCAGGGTTGAGATGTAGATGGGATGTCCCCAGCCAACACCAGAGTTTAGTTCTAAAGAGTCTGGTATGATTGGGATGATCTTTAAGTGTTTGTGTCCCCCGATCCCCTGGAGCTGAGGACCAAACCCAGGGCCTTGCACTTGCTGGGCAAGCGCTCTACCACTGAGCTAAATACCCAAGCCAGTGTTGTGTGACTTAGTGCCGAAAGGCACTGGCCCTCTAGTTGACTACTTGTGATCCATCTCAGGACCCTCATGGTGACAGGAGAGAAAAAACCCAAAAGTTGCCCTCTGACCTCCACGTTCTTAGGGTGCCACCTCCCTCCATAATCAAGTAAATAAATGCAATCCATTTTTGAGAGGGACTCTCAAGTTTTAAATGTTGTATGTGGACATTCTTCCATCAGATTCTGTCAGAGGAGAGGATGTGAAGATGCCCCAGGAAGATACAAATACAGATGCTGTCACACCCTTCACCCATGTTCTGGAAAGAAGAGATTTAGCTGCACACACAGAACTTCAGAGTCTCTCTAGTTCCAATGGAGACAAGGTTCCCCCTTGTCAAGGAGGGGCCTCCTGTGTGGACAGGACAGAAGATGGGCAGCTAGGGCTTGCTACCCTACGACCTGTGGAGCCTGTTGATCATCTCACCGGCCAGGCTAAGTTTGTGTGCAGTGAATGCAAGAAGAGCTTCCTGTACAGGTCTCAGTTCATCATCCACCAGAGGTCACACACAGGAGAGAGACCCTTTGAGTGCAGCGTGTGCAAAAAGAGGTTTGTGCAATCCTCAGACCTTCGGGTCCACAAGCGCATCCACAGGGGTGAAAAACCTTATGTGTGCAGCATCTGCAGCAGGAGGTTTTCCCACAAGTCCACCCTTCGGGGTCACCTTAGGGTCCACACAAAGGAGAAGCCTTATGAGCGTGAGCACTGTGGAAAATGCTTCAACCACAAGGGCAACCGCAGTGTCCATCTGGGAACCCACAGCGACTCAAGACCTTACAGTTGTAAGGAGTGTGACAAGGCCTTCAGACAGAAGGGGACTCTGAAAGGACACATGAAGATCCATTCAAGAATGGGGTCTTTGTGAGTCTGTATCCAGATTGAAGTCTTTTCCTAGAGAGACTGTTGCTAGGTTACCCTTGTTCCTTGGCAACACCTTGGGAGCACTTAAAGAGTGTCTCATCCCTTGAATGTTTCACTATGTCCCACTGTGTGAGTGTTTGTTAGTTTATTTTTTTGAGATAGGATCTCACTATGTATCTGGTGTCCTAAAACTTACTATGTAGACCAGGCTAGCTTGAAACTCAACAGATTTCCTTACCTATGTAGCCCAGATTGGCCATGAACTTGTGACTGGACTCATAGCTCTGCAAAGAGTGTTGGGATGCCCCTCCTTGGCAGGCATTTGTTATATTTTGATTTTACTTGGTGCTGTTATTCTCAGGTTGTCAATATTGAGTCACAAAATGGGAGTGATGTTTGTCTCCTCATAAACTGTAAAATGTGATTTTCCAATAAATTAATGGCTACCTAGCCAGGGACAAAACTTTTTTTTTAACAGTTATTTTATTTTATTTTAAAATACCATTCAGTTCTACATATCAGCCACGGGTTCCCCTATTCTACTCCCTCCCACCCCCTCCCCTTACCCCCAGCCCACCCCCCATTCCCACCTCCTCTTGGGCAAATCCTCCCCCGAGGACTTTGATCAACCTGGTAAACTCAGTCCAGGCAGGTCAAAACTTTTATAGTTGTGTGTATTTCCCCATTACCATTATATATATATATATATGTGTGTGTGTGTGTGTGTGTGTGTGTGTGTGTGTGTGTGTGTGTGTATGTATATGTATATATGTATATGGGTGTGTATATATATGTATAGATTTATTTCCAGACCAGGTTTCTCTGTGCAACAACCCTGGCTGTCCTGGAACTCACACTGTAGACCAGGCTGACTCGAACTCAGATTCCCAACCTTCTCTGCCTCCCAAGTGCTGGGATTAAAGGTATTGGCCAACACTGCCTGCCTTCTCACCGGTCTTTAAATATTTATGGGTGCTTCGCCTGCACAGGATGTGTGGCTGGTGCCTGAGGGCTCAGAAAAGAGTGCTGCATCTCCTGAGACTGTAGTTACTGAGTGTTGGGAGCCCTTATGTGGGTGCTGGAATCCAAACCCACCCGGGGTTCTCTGCAAGAGCAGCCAGTGCTCTTAACCACTGAGCGATCACTCCAGCCCCTTCTCACATATTTAAGCAGGGTCACTTTAAGCCTGCACCTCTCAATTTGTCCTTAAATATTAAGCAAGTCAGTTTACTCTAAATTCAAAACAAATGTGTCAGGACTCTGAGAGAATTTTGGGTATCACTTGACTAACACCATACAGCTTCCAAACTCTGCCCACACTTCATTGTTATCTAATATTGAATCAATGACTTAGACAATAAGATACATTTCCAAAATGAAAAATAATAAATGTTTCCCAAACCTGCAAGGTACACAGCACTGTGTTCTGATTTCCTTAAAAAGTCTGGTCTACAGGGCGAGATCTAGGACAGGCACCAAAACTACACAGAGAAACCCTGTCTGGAAAAACCCAAAACAATAAAAACGAAAGCTTTAAATACCATTATAGATATCATTTCAGACACCCTGAGATTAAATTACAAACTAAACCTGGGACTGCCACTAGGAGGAATGAACTTATTCAACTAAGTGGGCGAAGTCTTGTAGACCTGTGATAGGAGCTAGTGAGAAGATGAGGCAGGAGAATCATAAAGTCAAGGTTTGCCTGGCCTCCTGGGTGAGTGTAAGGCAGCTTAGAAAATTTGGTGAGATCATGTCCCAAACTTAAATATGAATCAATTTTATTAGACTTGGCTGGGGATGCAGTTCAGACTTCAGAGAGCTTGTATTAGCGTTGTCTGTTCCTAACACTGGGTAAAACTGGGTGTGGCCGGGCATCGGTGGTGGCTCACGCCTTTATCCCAGCTCTCAGGAGGCAGAGCCAGAAGGATCTCTGTGAGTTCGAGGCCAGCCTGGTCTACAGAGCAAGATCCAGGACAGGGACCAAAACTACACAGAGGAACCCTGTCTTGAACAAGCCAAAACTACAAAAAAACAAAACAAGAAACCTGGGTGTGGTGACACACACTATAATTGCAGGGAGCAGGGTCACAAATTTGAGACAGTTTGGGGCCACCCTGTGCTACAAAAGTCTCTTGGGACATCCAATGATGTGTCTCAGTGGCAAAGCATTTGCCAAGTGTAGTGAGGCCCTAGCTAGTTCAATCTCTAAAAGATATTACGGTAGATCTGGGACAAGATAGGCAAGGAATAGAGGAATATGATCAAAATGTGTTGTGTGCATGTGTGCAATTTGTAAAACATTAATGAATATAGGTTCAAATGATAAATTACTTAGGTGTGGTGGCACACATCTTTAATATCATCACTCAGGAGGCAGAGAAGGCTGTATCTCTGTAAAGTTCAGACCAGCTCAGTCCACAAAGCAAGTTCCATGGTATCCAGGGCTGCATAAAGAGATTCTGTCTCAGCAGGGTTGTGGTGTCTCATACCTTTAAGCTTAGCTTCTTGGATGCAGAGGCAGGAGGATCTCTGAGTTTAAGGCCAGCCTGGTCTACAGAACAAGTTCTAGGACAGCCAGAGTTATTACACAGAAAAACCCTGTCAAAACAAAACAAATGTGGAGAGGCCCTGTGTCAAAAACTAATAAATAACGGAGCAAGCTCTTAATGAAATGCTTTCTTCTGGTGTCTTTTCTCAGCAGTACAACACTAAGTCACTTGCCTTTTTTTGTTTTGTCCTGTGTCTTTGTTTTACTGTAAATTGTGTCTTAAATTGTTTTATTTTAAAGTAAATAATTCTTTTAAAAATTTCATTAAATTTTCTTTCTTATTTTGTGTGTAGGATGGGGTAAGAGAAGGTGTGCCAAATGCCCATGCCGACACATGACAACTTCCAGGATCCTGTTCTCTCCTATCATATGGGTCCAGGGGATCCAACTCAGGTCACTCTTTGCAACTAGACATTTACACACTGTGCCAGTCAATAAATATCTCTCTCTCTCTCTCTCTCTCTCTCTCTCTCTCTCTCTCTCTCTCTTTCTCTCTCTCTCTCTCTCTCAAAATATTTTTCTTTATTTCATGTATATGAGGTTTTTTTCCCCAATATCTCCCAGGAGAACTTGAGTTACAGGTGGTTGTAAGACATCATGTGTGTGCTGAGACAAATATACCAGGGTCCTCAGGAAGAACAGCCCATGTTCTTAACCTCTTGACCCTTACTCCAGCCCCAAACATAAATATTTCTCAGAATGGATTTAGAAAACAAGAGATGTGCTCCTTCGAGGATGCTGAAATAATGGAGAAAGTTGTCCCCAGGGAGGGTGTGGAGGCTCCGAACCCCTGTAGGTTGTCCTATCCATCTCTTCATTGCATCCTCTGTCATATCCTTTTGTTTTTCAAGAAAGGTTTTCTCTGTGTGACAGCCCTGGCTGTCCTGGAACTTGCTTTGTAGACCAGGCTGGCCTTGAACTCACAGAGATCCACCTGCCTCTGCCTCTCAAGTGCTAGGATTAAAGGCGCCCCCCCCCACTCCTTGGCTGAATATGCATTTTAACAAGCCAGTCTGATTTAAGGAAAAGTTCAGCATCCTTAGTCATCAGATTAATGCCAATGAAAACAACTCTGTGATACCAACTTACACCTGTCAGAATGGCTATGATCAAAAACACTGATGACAATCTATGTTAGAGAGGATGCAGAGCAAGGGGAACATTCCTTCACTGTTGGTGGGAGTGCAAACCAGAACAGCCACAGTGGAAATCAGTATGATGTTTTCTCAGAAAATTGGTAATCATTCTACCTCAAGACTCAGCCATACCACTCTTTGGCATATACCCAAGGAATGCTCAATCATACCACAAACATACATGCTCAACTATGTTTATAGCAGCATTATTTTTAATAGCCAGAACCTGGAAACAACCTAGATGCCTGTCAAGGATGGGCAATGGAAGGTGTGCATGCAGACACATGACAACTTTTAGGATCTGGTTCTCTCCTTCCACCATATAGGTCCCAGGGTTCCAACTCAGGTCATTGTTTGCAGCATGCTCCTTTACACACTGTGACAGTCAGCGGCCAGGAAGAAATCTCTCTCTCTCTCTAACTTTAAAAAGATTGTTCCCTATTTCTTGGATATGAGTTTACTTTTCCAAAACTCAATTCTACTGTTACAAGCTCAACTATGTTCATAGCAGCATTATTCTGAATAGCAAGAACCTGGAAAAACCTAGATATGCCCATCAACTGAAGAATGGATTAGGAAAATGTGGCACATACACACAATGGAGTACCACTCAGCAGATAAAAACAGTGATATCACGGGCTAGAGAGATGGCTCAGAGGTTAAGAGTACTGCTTGCTCTTCCAAAGGTCCTGAGTTCAATTCCCAGCAACCACATGGTGGCTCACAACCATCTGTAATGAGACCTGGTGCCCTCTTCTGGCCTGCAGGGATATGTGCAGATAGAACACTATACATAATAAATAATCTTAAAAAAAAGATTAAAAAAAAAACAATGACATCATATAATTTGCAGGCAAATGGATGGAACTAGAAAACATCATCCTGAGTGAGGTAACCCAGACTCAGAATGACAAACATGGTATGCACTCACTCATAAGTGGATACTAGATATAAAGCAAAGGACAGTCAGACTGCAACCCACAGATCCAGGGAGGCTACCTATCAGGGAGGACCCTAGGATAACTGTGGCTTATAATAAGTTTTTGTTTTGCTCAAACACTGGGCATGCTGTAGTGAAACATTTCACTCTTAGGATAAGAATTTGTAGTGTATCAAGCTGATGAAATGATATGGGGGCTGTACTTTCAAGAGGGGAGGCTAGAAAAATGTCTGCCATAAATCAAACAGTGAAGCAAAAGATGAATAGGAAGCTCACTTCCACAACTTAAGTAAAACATAGCTAGCTCTCTTAACAGATGAAGATAGATTTCTTCTGTATCCCAGAATCTAATCAATATTTATATGTATATTTCAGCTTTCATTTGGCTTAAAGGAGTTTATTGAGAAATGTTATCATTTTTACTATTTTCTACAGAAAAAATACTTTCCAGTTTCAAATAAAACTGGACATTGGAATTATAACCTATTTTTTGTTCAAAAAACAAGTCAGTCTGTGTTTTTCCTTAATATCTGTGAGTCACTGTACAAGTCAACAGATCCCAAGGAGGAAATTATATATTTTCTTGATTAAATGGGTATAATTTAGATAAATGATCTTCAGACACTTGAAAGACCTACAGAATATAGCATCTAAAATGCTTTGAAATTTAAAGTTTTTCGTGACAGTGAGACACTCTGCTCCTGGTTGTATCAATTTATGTCAGAGATGGTGGGCATTGAAGAAACTCCTTATGGAGTTTGCTTTCACTGTGGCAAGGCTAGCCACTGGGCCAAGGAACTGATCTTGCTTTTGACTGCTGTGCAGACTGGACATGCAGGACACACAGGAAAAAAGACTGTTGAACTTGCCAGAAAAGGCAGGACATTCCTAAAATACCTACTTCACAGAAGATTCTGCCACACATTCCGCAGGACACTGGGGAAAGTGGCTGATGATTTTTCCAAAACAAGGCAGGATAGTCCAATTACTGATTCATAGAAAAGTATGCTAGACACTCTAGGCCTATCGGCTGAAGATGGATGCCCCAACATTGTAGAGAAACTTTGGGTGACTGTCCAGGCATCCAAATGTCTCTGTTCTTAGATAATATTATATCCTTCTGGGTCTCTGATGAAGTTGAAGACTTGATAACAATAGTTGCAGCTTTCTTTAGATATGACAGAAAGTAAATTATGTACAAGGTTTTGGATTCACTAAGTTAGGATATATGACACATTATTTTCTCTGAATTTGCTAAATACGAATGCAATGAATAAAGCAAATGTAATTCTAACTTTATAATTTCTTTTTGGATTTCAAGACAGGGTTTCTCTGTGTAGCTTTACACCTTTCCTGGAACTCGCTTTGGAGACCAGGCTGGCCTCAAAACAACAGAGATCCGCCTGCCTCTGCCTCCCTAGTGCTGAGATTAAAGGCGTGATCCACCACCGCCCGACCTGATAATTGTTTCTGTTGTTTATAGTTTTAGCATGTTAAAGTAAAAACCTTTATATTTTTAAATTTTTGTTTCCATATTTATTATGTATACAGTGCTCTGCCTGTATATATGCCTGAACTGCAGGCCAGAAGAGAGCACCAGGACACATTATCAATGGTTGTGAGCCACCATGTGGGGAATTGAACTCAGGACCTCTGGAAGAACAGCCAGTGCTCTTAAACTCTGGGGTCATCTTTCCAGCCCCACTTTTATTTTTATTTGGACAAAAAGAAGGACATGTTGTATAATATTATTTCAGGGTGTGTTACTTTTGTTTAAGTTGCAGTTGTTTAACTCTGTGAAGCTGTGTTTCTGTGACTGTCTAAAATATCTGATGGTCTAATAAAAAGCAAAACAGCCCATAGTGAGGCAGTAGAGGACAGGTATGGCTGGCGTGTACAGAGAATATATGGAAGGAGAAATCTGGAAGAGGAGAGTCCTAGGAGCCAGAGAAGGAAGAGGATGCCAGGGCCCAGCCACCCAGCTACTCAGCCAGCCAGAGTAAGATATACAGAGTAAGAAAAGGAAAAAGACCAGAGGCAAAAGGTAGATGTGATAAGTTAAGGAAAGTTAGCAAGAAATAAGCCAAGCTAAGGCCTGGCAATAATAATTAAGAATAAGCCTGTGTGTGATTTGTTTTGGAGCTGGGTGCCTCCCTCCCCCACCAAAAGAGCCAAAACAGTCAAACAACTTGCTTAAATTCTTGACACATTTGTTTTGAATTTAGAGTAAACTGACTTGCTTAACATTTAAGGGCAATTTGAGTGGTTCATGATTTAAAGTACCCTCCGTAAATATGTGATTAGGAACTGGAGAGATGGCTCAGTGGTTAAGAGCACTGGCTGCTCTTGCAGAGGACCCAGGTGGGTTTGGATCTGAGCACCAATATCGTGGCTCCCAACACTTATTAATTACAGATTAAGGAGATGCAGCCCTCTTTTCTGACCCCCTCAGGTACCAGCCCCACATCCTGTGTAGGCCTGGCACCCATAAATACTTAAAGACCTGTGAGAATCTAGGCAGTAGGGCACATGCTTTAACCCCAGGATTTGAGAGGCAGAGGCCAGCCTGGACTACAAAGCACATTTCAGGACAGTGAAAGGCTGTGGCACAGAGAGAGCCTGTCTTGAAAAATCATTTAAAAAAAATAAGGGGTTGGGGATTTAGCTCAGTGGTAAAAGGCTTGACTACCGAGTATAAGGCCCAGGATTCCCTTCTTCACTCCAAAATAATAATAATAATAATAATAATAATAATAATAATAATAATAATAATAAAAAAAAACAATAATAATAACAATAATGTAATAATGGTAATGGGGACATATACACAACTATAAAAGTGTTATCTTTAGCCTGGGGGTGGTGGCAGCGCACCCCTTTAATCCCAGTCCTCAGGAGGCAGAGGCAGGTGGATCTCTGTGAGTTCGAAGCCAGCCTGGGCTACAGAGTGAGTTCCAGGAAAGGTGCAAAGTTACACAGAGAAGTGTCCTTGTCCAGAGACCAAGTCATTTATTGGAAAATCACATTTTACAGTTTATGAGGAGACAAACACCACTCCCATTTTGTGACTCAATATTGACAACCTGAGAATAACAGCACCAAGTAAAAACAAAATTTAACAAAAGCCTGCCAAGGAGGGGCATCTCAACACTCTGGGCAGAGGTATGAGTCCAGTGACAAGTTCATGGCCATACTGGGATACATAGATAAGTAGGTCTCTTGAGTTTCAAGCTAGCCTGGGCTACATAGTGAGTTTCTAGGACAGCCAGTGACACATAGTGAGATCCTGTCTCAAACACACACACACACACACACACACACACACACACACACACACACCCCAACACCAGTGGTGCACAGTAAAACACAATTGTCCTCAGACTTTCAAGGGATGAGACATCACTTTAAGTGCTCCGAAGCTGTTGCCATGTAACAAGGGTAACCTAGCAACAGTCTCTCTAGGAAAAGACTTCAATCTGGATACAGACTCACAAGGATGGCAATCATTTATTTTTCATTTTATTTATTTATTTGTTTGTTTGTTTTTCCAGACAGGGCTTCTCTGTGTAGCTTTGCGCCTTTCCTGGATCTCGATCTGTAGACCAGGCTGGCCTCGAACTCACAAAGATCTGCCTGCCTCTTCCTCCTGAGTGCTAGGATTAAAGGCTTGCACCACCACCGCCCGGCTTGTTTTATTTTTTTTTTTAGACAATGTTTCTCTGTGTAGTTTTGGTGCCTGTCCGGGATCTTGCTCTGTAGACCAGGCTGGCCTCGAACTCACTGAAATCCGCCTGGCTCTGCCTCCCGAGTGCTGGCATTCAAGGCGTGCGCCACCAGTGCCCAAGGATGCCATTCTTGAATGGATTTTCATGTGCTGTTTCAGAGTCCCCTGCTGTCTGAAGGCCTTGTCACACTCCTTACAACTGTAAGGTCTTGAGTCGCTGTGGATACGGAGATGGATATTGAGGTTGCCCTTGTGACTGAAACATTTCCCACAGTGCTCACACTCGTATGGCTTCTCCTTTGTGTGGGTCTTAGTGTGACCCCGCAGAGTGGACTTGTGGGCAAACCTCCTGCTGCAGATGCTGCACACGTAAGGCTTTTCACCCCTGTGGATGCGCTTGTGGACCCGAAGGTCTGAGGATTGCACAAACCCCTTTTTGCACACGCTGCACTCAAAGGGTCTCTCTCCTGTGTGTGACCTCTGGTGGATGATGAACTGAGACCTGTACAGGAAGCTCTTCTTGCATTCACTGCACACAAACTTAGCCTGGCCGGCGAGATGATCAACAGGCTCCACAGGTCGTAGGGTAGCAAGCCCTAGCTGCCCATCTTCTGTCCTGTCCACACAGGAGGCCCCTCCTTGACAAGGGGGAACCTTGTCTCCATTGGAACTAGAGAGACTCTGAAGATCTGTGTGTGCAGCTAAATCTCTTCTTTCCAGAACATGGGTGAACGGTGTGACAGCATCTGTATTTGTATCTTCCTGGGGCATCTTCACATCTTCTCCTCTGACAGAATCTGATGGAGAGAAGAAGTCCACATACAACATTTAAAACTTGAGAGTCCCTCTCAAAAATGGATTGCATTTATTTACTTGATTATGGAGGGAGGTGGCACCCTAAGAATGTGGAGGTCAGAGGACAACTTTTGGGTTGGTTCTCTCCTGTCACCATGAGGGTCCTGAGATGGATCACAGGCAGTCAGCTCGAGGGTCAGTGCCTTTCAACACTGAGGCACACAACAGTGGTTTGGGTATTTAGCTCAGTGGTAGAGCGCTTGCCCAGCAAGTACAAGGCCCTGGGTTTGGTCCTCAGCTCCAGGGGATCGGGGGACACAAACACTTAAAGATCATCCCAATCATACCAGACTCGTTAGAGCTAAACCTAGGTGCTGGCTGTGGACATCCCATCAACATCCCAAGCCTGAGAGCTCAGCCTGTAGAATGCTCTGGAAGGCTAGTGACAGAGGGGGTGGGAGGGGGTGGTCAGCTTCCTCCCACAGGAAGGGAGTGCTGGGCAAGGAGTAAGTCCCCAGTCAGTTCCCACCTGGAACTCACCAGAACTCTGCACCCAGTTACATTCCAGGCTCCGCTCATTTCTCGGGTCGTCCTGTTCTCCGCTCTCAGGAACTGTATCCAGGAAAACCTCCTCTTCCTTGACAGGGGATAGTGAAGAATTATGGGTGTGTGTTGGTTCAATGGAGAGATGGAGCATAATAGACATCTGTCTCTACTTCATCTGGGCCACTCAATTTCCCCACGTGGGAATGTTTATACTTCTATGGCCCATGCCAATACTCCCCATAAACAACCATTCTTGTGTTATTACTAAGCCTGTTTTTGAGGATCGGATGCCTTCTTTTGGCCTCCAAGAACAACAGACACATGTGGTGTACAGGATACGTAAATGGAGGAGGAGGAGGAGAAGATGCTGTGGATATTGCTCTATATAAATAAAACACTGATGGCCAGTTACCAGACAGGAAGTATAGGAGGGACAAGGAAAGAGGAGAATTGGGGAAACAGGAAGAAGGAGGGGGAGACATTGCAGCCACCGCCAGGAGAAGCAGCATGTAGAGACACCGCCGGTAAGCCACCAGCCACATGGCAAGGTATAGATTGATAGAAATGGGTTAATTTAAGATATAAGAACAGTTAGCAAGAAGCCTGCCACGGCCATACAGTTTATAAGTAATATAAGCGTCTGAGTGATTATTTTATACG